CTAAAAGCTCTCTTGGCTGATTAGGTCCTGATAAATAGGGATGAAAATTTCAATTATATAAAGAGGAGATACAATAAAAAAGCACGGAAAGATGAAGTTTTATTTGACAAATCAAATTTGACGTTGATTTAAGCGAAAAACGTTATTTTTTTTTACATTCATATCAGCTATGAAATTTATGAATATAAGCTCGTAAAAATTAATTGAAAATTCAGTTTTAGTGCTTTCTCGATAGATGGTTTTCTGTCATTAACGAAGTTTTTAAAATCAAATAAAGATAATCGTGCTGGTATTTTTGCTTCACAGTTCCTGGTGGTATCAACGATGTTATATGTGTTTGTACCGTTTCTTTTTAAATTAAGGGCTTTAAATGTTTAAGCTCCGTTCAGATGAAATTCCTGATTGCTGTTTTCTTGAGACGTGGGTGGCCAAATTAATTATGTATAACTTGTGAAATTTTGATTTGATACATTTATTTAATTTGTTTTTGACTGTTGAAAGAAAAGATTTTTCAAATGTTGTTAGATTCGAATGTTGTTGATCGTTGTTTTTTTTATTTTCTTTGTTTATGGTGATTAATTCTGATGTGCTATATTTAACAACAAAATGTTTGTTCATGTGCTTGAAAATAAGTTACATTTTTAATGACTTTTCATTTTTAATGTATCGATTTTAAGAGGCGAAGGTCACATAAAAAATGCTTTTTCATCTTCATATATAACCATAATTCAAAAGAAATATTTTTCCAGTAAAACGCATTTTTACCAAAGATTTTCTGAGTGTTTTTATTACAAAGATAGTGAGGTCAAATGTTTTTTATTATTCATGAATCTGAGATTTTATTATTTAGGGTCAAATAATGAATCTGTATATAGCGCAGCACATGTGTGTAAAAATCAACCTATTTTATCATTCACAGAAGTTTGTTTATGCCTTTGTAGGTTATAAAAATTGCCATCCAAAGATTTTGTGGCAGTGTTTAGTTATGGTATATGCTGTTTTAAGAGTTTTTCTGGAGCCAGGTATCCCTCCATCATGAAAATCGTGTGTGCATGTTAAGTGAGTCAGTACACAGGTTTAGCAGTGATTTTTTATGTGGTTTACCATGAAAGCTGTGAGGTCCTGTTTATTCTTGTAATTACATTGTTGTTTATGAGGTAGTCTTAAGGTGTTGTTTTTTTTCTAGGGAAGATAGAATTGGTAATTTGATTGGTTAGAGCAGTCTGAAGTATTTTAAGATTGGAGGGGTGGGGGACGGGGGGGAGAGTGGAAGTGGGGGACAGCAACAGTGTCCTAGTAATATACCAACAATAAATGGTATGGTATTGTGGTATTGGTAATTGGTATGGGAGAGGTATTTATTACAAGCTATGGGAACTGGAAGTAAGGTGGTTGGTATCAGAAATGGTATGGTGTTGGTAATTGGTATGGGAGAGGAATTTGGTACAAATAATAGTGTTATTTATGTGTAATTACTGATCATTTTTCAGAGAAGTAAAAGTTGTTGCTGTGTTGTTTAAATGAATTTGCACGATTTAGTTTTGATTGAAATTTCACCTCAGTGGAGAAAAGGTAAAAGACATGAAGAGAGAGCCATAGAGAGCTACCTAGCTATCTGTCTGATAAATATTATTATATTTTTTTTTTGCCAAGTGAAGGTTTTCTTTCTTGATGTTAAGATAAGATATTGTTTGATTTATTGGAAACTGAAATATGTTGTAAGGCTTTTGTTCTCATGGCTATGCTGGGGGTCTTCACATAAACTCCACTTTGCCCTTTCAGTATGAAATGGCTGTTTACATGAATTAGGGATGTTTACAAATAAAATTATTATAAGATCTTTGCACGTTTTTTATTGTTTTTGATTTTTTGTATCCACACTTCTTGCGTTATGGGTTTTTTCTTTCTTTCTGGGATGAATCAATCTAAGATATTCCACTTGCTGCTATGGTACATAAAAAACCAGTAATGTCTGAATAAAAAAAAAGGGTAGAATGTTTATTATTTACTGCCTCCGAGTTAATGTTTTGCATTATTGTTGGTGTGGAAAAAGGCAGGAAAAAAACTAGCTCACAGCATGTTGTCTGTGGGGTCTGCAAACTGGTTTATGATGGATTTGAAAGGAAGCCACTGAAACAACGACATCTTATTACTGAAGATTCATGTTTTTTACCTAAGATTGAGCTGTTTTTCTAGGCTTGTGATGATGTGTGAATGTATTTATTACTTATGTAAGAGGCTGGGATATTTTTTTATGATAAACAGCTCTTGATAGCTTAGTTTTTATATTAAACATTTTAATAAGCTTTAAGGGACCAGTGCGATAGCCTAGTTTTTGTATTATACATTTTAATGGGCTTTGATTTATTGTGAATGATAGAGGTCTTTGAAAGTGATTAAATACTTTATAAGTTCAATTTTATTGCAATATTGGCATAAAATTGACATTTATGAATTTCAAGAACAAAGTTTTCATGGATCTGACAATGTTTTGATGATACCATTGCATTTTCTTCTAAATGGCACAATTCAAGTCCTGTTATTTATAAGATCTCTATAATTGTATTAACTGTTAAAGCTAAAGAGAGCTTTTCCCCTGAACTATATATATATTTTTTTAACAAGAACGTTCAGCTTCTGTGTTTTTTAAACTCACCTATATCTGTCAAATTGATTTGAACAGTTTCTTGAAGAAAGCAGGCATGTTGTAGATGCAGAGCTTTATCTAGCATTGATCAAAGTTCTGGCATATGATCCAGCGCAGGTTATCTCTAACCATTATACCAGGATTTATTGACTCTTCCATGTTTCTTACAACAACTCTTTTTTTCCCCCTCTTCTCAAGATTTGTTTTTTTATTGAGCTGATAGTTATGAGGCATATAGTTATTGCACTGTCTCATGCGTCTGTCTGTCTGCATTTTTGTTCTCAGTTTTTTTTGTTTTTTTTTTCTTAAGCAAAAAAAATTTTCTCAATTTCTTGAAGCTTCTTCACAGATTAATGAAGTTGCGATAATGTTTAAATTCTGATATTCATTGCACTGTATTTCATTATTTGTCTTGAGAGACCACCTTTAAACACAAGACTACTTGGCATTATTACAGTGGTCTTTCTGGAAAGGTCTGTCTACACTTTAATATAAATCAAATGCTTGTATTTTATGAGGAATGGAATAAGTGGTGTCAAAAATAAGCAAAAAGAAATACAAATAATTTTATTTGACTGGGATGGGGGGGGGGTTAAATTTTTTTGTTTTTTTTTCTAAGATAATTATATAATTATAATGTTTACTTTTTTCAAGGAATTTCTAGTGCAAATTTCTATGAATCAAACAGTAGGTCTTTTTGGCGGGAGTACAAATTTCTATTAAACTGTCACTCATTGTAATTCCTCACAAATTAATCCAGGGAGATAACAAGGTATTTTATGGGAGGTCTGGGGATGTAACAGTGTCAAAAGTTTGGACTGAAATTCATTGAGGTAGGAACTGAAGATCACTGAGATTTTTTTTGTAATTCTCTGGATTTTTTTTTAAAAATCTACAGGAATTTGTATGTAATTGCTTGAAGTTTGTATGGGAGGTCTTTGGTAGTGATTAACAAAACATGTAATTACTGTTTATTATATTGAAAGATATGAATTCAACTGAAAAAGATAGTCAGAAAAATAAGATAAAGCCTTGAATCATGCTTAAGGGTATGTAATGAGAGGCAAGGGACCTTGAGATAAGGGCAATATCTAATGATGTTAAAATGAGATATTTTAATGAGAATAGTGTTTTTACTGATGCAAGAGAGTGAGAGTGAGGTGTAGAGTTCAGGAAATGAGAAAGGGAAGTAAGCCAAATACAGTGAGATAGGGAAGTGATCCCTTGTTGTGAGATAGGGATGTAAAGCTTTTACAGTGAGCTAAGGAAATGAACTCTTGTAGTGAGATAGAGAATGATATAAACCTTGTATAGTGAGGTAAGGAAATGAACTCTTGTAGTGAGATAGAGAATGATATAAACCTTATATAGTGAGGTAAGGAAATGAGCTTTTGTAGAGAGATAATAAGGAAATGCAATGATGTAGGGAAGTGAGGCATTGTGAGAAAGGAAATTGGAAACTTGCAGTGACATGAAGACAGTGAAACTTTGGAGGGAGCTTGGAAATAAAACCATGGATACAGATAGGGAGATATTTCTATAAGAGGAATTACACATAGAAATTGTAGGGAATTTAAGGAAAGACTGTTAGATTATGGCTGAACTTGGGTCATTGATGCTGCTAGAATTTCACTGGAAAAAAATGACAATTATTTGCTAAAATATGTACTAATCATGATGAAGCATTTACAATGGTTATCTACAAAATTCTGAAGTTTTTTTCTGATTTTATATCTTATTTCGTGACTGTGTTTAATGAATGAAGATGTTTCATTTTATTTGAGAAAATTATGTACTGTCTGTAGTAAGACACGCATGTAAGGCTTGTTAGTTTGATGTTGAAAAAGCCAACCAATTATTGAAAGGTGGATATGTTTATTTTCAGTAGAGGTTTCCATGTAAAAGATGGTGCCCACCCAGGCTATATAATCTGATTGTGCTTATTGTGTTCCCCCCACCACTTTTTTTGGCTGACTACTTATGGTTTTATAGCTTTGTTTTACAATTTGTCTGAATTGTTCTTTCTATCTGATCTGATACAGTGTCTAATTTTGTACCAGAAATACCAGGGTGGAGTTAATTTTGGCTGTTTTGGTGTGTTTGAAGTTTTTATGTACTTTAGTGTGGGCTTGTGGTATTTATTTCTCTGCCTTTTAATGATTATCTGATGCTGTGTTAAAAATTAGGCAATTTACCAATCAAAAGGTAACTTGACAGCTTCCTTTCTAATTCTTAATGTAAAATAGTGTGTTAGGAAATGGGTATATTTCCTATATGTATTTAAAGCTTGTATTTTATGCTTAATTATGGTTTTTATTTATTAATTTATCTTTTATTTTTGGTATATTTTCAGGTATTTTTTCCTTGTGCTGACTGGGCTAGTTTTGATTGGTTTGTTGAATGGACTGGTTCTTCTGCCAGTTATATTGTCTGTGTTTGGACCACCATCTGAGGTAAGCTAGAAAACCAGTCTAAAATAAGTTTATTTTTCATCCCTGTATTTAAACCTCTCTAAATTTTCATTAATGCAATTAGCACTCTTGCAGTTTAGTCTTTGATCAACATATCAATGAACATGATATTAATTAATTTCAGCTTCCTAGAAATTCATTTGTATTTTACAGATATCTTTATATAGATTTCATTAAAAAAGAGGAGTCATGGACTTTAAGCAAATCAGTGTTTACCATTACGAACCTTGAATTTGTATTTTGATGCCTGCATAATTATGATTAAAATGAATTTAGTTTGTAAACTTTAAATGCAATTCAGCAAGAATATGGTTATTTTTTGCGTAGGTTCGACCTAAAGAAAATGATGATAGAATTCCTACTCCATCACCGGAACCCTCTCCTCGGGCTAGAATAAGAAATTTGCCAGTTCGGGCAACAAAGAGCAGTAAGCGAATAAAATATCCGAGGAGGATTCCTTCAGATATATCTCTAACAACAATTTCCGAGGAACCATCACAGTATTCTTCCACGGAAATTGTTGTTCAGCCGGAGGTGGTTGTAGAGACATCGCTACAGCAACCAAGAGATGGTAATGATCAACAGCAGACGACACAATATACTGCAGACGACACTAGTAGTACTAGAAGTAGTAGTAAAATTGTAAGTTGTTGTTAAAAATAATCTATTTAATTAATCTACATGTGGGGGGAAAAATCTATGTTAGTCTGATCTGATCATTGTTACTTTTGTAATCAAAATACTGCTTCTAGTTTGTTTCTTGAATCAGAATCTGATAAAGAAAGTACCAGTCTTTGTAAAATTACATTTTATATTCTACTTTGTGTCCCCTTTCATACCCTATAGTTTGAAGTAACATAACATTTCATCAATCTGGTAGTTTTATTAAAGTTAGTATTAGATCATATGTAATAAACAAATTCTTTAATTTTTCCAGAATTCACCACCAGGGTCGGTAATATCGGCACCGACCACACATGTAACACGGGTAAAAGCAACAGCAACTGTCAAGGTTGAAGTTCACACACCTTTACCAGGTAGATTATAACACATTTTATTATTTATAATTATGTTGAGATTACTTCATTGTCATTGATTTTAAGATTTGTTTGTAATACTGAATACGTTGCTTTAAACTTTTCCATCAGTTTTCTGTAAACTTACATGGAATTTAAGATTTCACAACAACAAAACAACACAGATTTCTCCGTGGTGAATTTTAAATGAAGCCAAGATAATATGTGATAATACATTTACATATATTTACTCAAATTTATAAACTTATGCACTAGAAAGTTGGAAAAAATAAATTTAAAAACCTTTTGTTGTCGTTACTAGGTACAGTTCCAGAGTTACAAGATTATAAACGCCGGCGACGGAAGGACGAATATGAAAGCAGTAACTCAGATTCTGATTCCAGTTCCTAACATTTGGTTAGTACATTTGTACTTTATGTAATGGACTTTTTCTGCTTTGAATTTTAGACAGTCCAATATAAGTTAAATGGATTGAAATATGAAAATATTAGAAATAAACCTGGCCTGGATTAGTTGTCGGTAATGCCATTAACTTTGATAAGGTGAAATGGGAGTGCACAATGAGTTTGTATATTTTTATTTTGATATTGATATTTATAGCTCTACTGAGAACTATTGTAACTACTTGGGCATCGCACTTTGGTTAAGTTTTTATGTGCAAGATGGTGTCTTCAAAACTGCTGAAGGGAATAGGTTGACACTTCACACACTAATTTTAAAACATAAGAGTAGGTCCTTGTTTAAGCCCAATAGCTTTAACATGGAATTTGTCAGAGTTATGGCCCTTTTTGAACTAAGAAAATTTTACATTATCCAGGTTCTTGTTTTACTATCAAGCACTGAATAGTTGAACACGCTGTTCTACCAAGAGCTCTTGTTTTTATGCTTCTTATAGTCTCAGTAGCATAAACTGAATTCTCTGCAATATATACTTCTATATTATTTACTCTCAATTTGTTTTAATATACATGTATATCTTCTGTATAAGAATTTATCCTAAAACTTTGTTTTTGAGATTAAAATTTAATTTATGTTTTGTTTTCTCGTTTCAGATGGTCTGGGACTACTTGGTGCTATAAATAGCATGCCTGCAATATTACTTGTACAGAAAGCATTATAATTTATATGTGAATATTTCTGTCACCTATCAGTATTTATATGTGATTATCATTAGAGAGCCAAGGACTCTTCTTAACTCATTTCAAGTCTGTGCAGGGATATTGTCATTCTTTTGATGCGGATTTTTCTACATGGAGACGTTATTTTTTGAAGCAGACGACATGGTGCAATTTTGCAGTAGAAGACATTTGAAGTTGAAGATCTTATTTTTTACAAATACTCAAAGAGGACTTTAAAAAACTGTAACTATATTTGGAGCAGAAGACATAAATTGACTGAATGATGAAGATCAGAAAAAGGGGAACAACTCTAAGTGTTCTATAAATAGATTTTGTGAATTATGATTCTTCATATTCTTTTACACAAGTGATTAACAAGTGCCTATATGAAGTTAAAAGTGCCAATAAGCATAAAGTGCATATTACTTTACAACGAAACACAAAAGTGTGATAAAATAAAAAGTGTCAAAACAATGAACATAAAAATGTGCTTCCAGCGAACAAAATGATGATGAAGACGAATCGCATTTGAGATTGACAATGTTTCTATGCAGGCTGTTTCATTGTGATATTCTTTTTTTAATTTTACTTCCGTGTGGACTTATTTGTCAAAACAGATCAGTGTATACTGTAAACAATTGTTTTTGATTGGTCAGTACGGAGGCAGCTATCGTATTGAAATTAACACAAATCAGGGCTATATAGACCCCGTTTACATGTGACGTGAATAGTGAAATGATTGTAATGTAAACGGGCTCTGACATTAAATTGAGAAGATAGACACGTTTTTGTGTGGTGTACACGTGTATTTAAATTGTGTAATGGTACCTCAGCATGAAGTTATGTGACACTATGTCGAGTTATATTCATCGTGTAATTTATTATAGAATATCAAGAAAACAGTACATATATATGAATTATTTACAGTTTGTGAATAGTACTGGCAAAGCAGTGAGTTGTGAATTCAGTATTTTTTCTTCATTATTTCTTTGTTTATAAACAAAAAAACAAAAACTTTTTTCAAAACTATTGTTAATTGCAGTTTTTACATAAGGTATTTTTGTGAGGAAACATTCAAACTAATTTTCTGAACTGAGATAAATTATTTCGAAATTAGTTATTTTCAAATCAAGGGAGATCTTAAAATGGAAATGATTTTCGTAATTATTTACTACGTAATTATTCTTAATAAATGTGTATTCTTTATTCAAGAGAATAAGAATACATATGAAATAATACTCTTAAAAGTCATACAAAAATTTTCTGGGTTTTTTTTGTAAAAAATACAAAATTGTGTAATTTTTATACATATTTTCTTTTGACTTTAAAACAGCTGCAATGAATTTTATTTTTATGTGACCATTTTTCTGTGAAATCAGGGTCACATGAATACGTGTACGGGTAATTCAAATGTGTAATTATATTCATATGTATATTGACATTTTTTTCATGACATAAATTTTGTATATGATGTATTGAAAAATAAATTGTACATGTATTTAACGCCAAATAATTCAGGTTTTAAGTATTTTTTAATATCATTTTGGTCGGAACAATTTTTTTGTATAGGAGTAATAGGGAGGTAGTCCTGTTTTAACAAGACATTAATTATCTCAATGCAACGAATTTGTTAACTATGAAAATATCCCACCCACCTGGATTTTTCAAGTTTGTTCAGTCAAGTGCTATAAATGCATGTTTTGAATTAATTTTAGTTGATATATATTTTCTAAAATATGGATCGCCATATACACAGATGTTTTAATTATGTGTATGAATTTATTAAGAAATGATTTGAAAATCCAGTATAATTTATTTAATGTTTCAATGTGCCAGTAAAACTTATATTTGATTAATATTACAAATGAAATCTTTAATAAAAAAAACTTTGCATATATCTATTTTAAATACTGTAATTCCTAATAAATTCTGTATTTAATGTTAATTTTTTTTTCTATTTCTGGTATTTTCTGTCAATAAGAAGGCTGAGTTTCAAACAAAAATACATGCAGTGATTTTTTTCCAAATGCTTTTATCTTCACAACTTTTTATATGGATACTTTATAAAAGGATTTACTTGGTGCATATCTTTCATTTTTGTCTTCCATTTTTTAAACTGGTTCTTTTTTAAGTGCCTTTAGATTCAATAATATGTTTTATCAATATTTTATAGAAGGTGCTTTCTGCTTCAGTATGTGGGCAAGTGCATTTATTCATATTGAGGGAGTGCCTCTGTTTTAAAGAAGATATAATTATGATAAGCCTGTACTTAAATACTCGTTAAAACTTGTTTTTTTAAATGGCGAATTATTCAGTATATATGTCAGTATTTTGCACTAGAGATGTACATATTTGTTTAATAGTATGCAATTTTTGACAAAATTATATATAAAGCAATATTTTGTAACACTGATTTTCATTAATTGAAAATTATATTATTTTTTTTCCAAAATTTACATTGCTCTTTATTTAAATTTCCATACCTTAAGATAAAACGAGCTGTGAGTGAAAATTTTGTATTAAACCTGTGGGGAAACTCAAGGGATTTAGCCTTTGCCTCCAGTGCAGAGCCAGGCAAGTATTCACAACCACACAATATAACCAGGCTCTACAGTGTTGGTAGCTTTGATACTGAAAAGGATGGTTTCAAATTCAAAGACTGGCAAATCTACTATACATCAATTCAGCAGATAAAGCTCTAACATTACTCTGTAATGTTTTCCAAGTTGTTTTTGGAGTTTATATTCTGGTCAAAACAAAGTTTGTAATCCAGTCTGCTTATTCTGCTTTACCATTGGTCAATTTCAAATTCATTATCTTATTTAGCCAATCATATGTCGAGGGGCTAAGACTGGTCTCCTGAATTGATTATTATTTTAATAGGGATATGGAAATTTAAATGCAAAGTAATATCTACTGATACAGGGTGTTAGTTTTTGCCAAAGATTCTATGTAAATTATGCAAACTAATTATCTCAGGTAAAATTTTCACTTTTCTCTTCTTTTTTTTGTAAATTTTAGATTTTTTATGCAGTTTAATTATCATTGAACTTCCATTTTAAATCTGTTCATTACCTCAGGCACTATAAGATTATTTTAGATTTGTTGGTCTCTTAAATTACAAAACATGATCAACCTTTGGTTTTGATATCACTTAAGTTGATAACAAGTTATGATTAAATGAAATATTTTTTTGTATGTTATTAAATTCATTTTTTGATACAATGTCATCTGTACATAAAAAAATCCAACAAATTTAAAGTGATTTTATGGTAACCATTTATCAATTACTGCTTATATTAAAGACAAGCATTAAGGTAAAAAAATGTTAAAAAATCTTTTTATATACATGTAATTACGTTATTTGTTGAAAATCTTTCTTTTTTTATTAACAACATTTTTTCTCCAAATTTGTTTCAATACCAGCATGGATAAGAATTATTATTGAAGACTGTAGATACTTAAATTTATTTTTTAGATCTTCGTTCAATGATTATTGTAAGAATTTAAAGATTCTGAGAAATTTTGATGTCTGTCATTTTTTAAGTATACACTCTTACCTCATTTGGTAGATGAACTTGTATATAACAAGGTTTTTGATTGGCTGATTCTTTTGAATATTTTTAGTTACAATATTTTTGATTGGTTCATTTTAAGCAATTTATGATTGGTCAAAAAAAACCTTTGCAGTAAATGAATGATGATTAAAACAAGATGAACATAGATAGTTTTAGCCAATCAAATTCCTCGTTGTAATTGTGTTATTGAAGTGAAAAATAAGGACGTTTTTATTGGTTGTACAATGAATCATTCTTCAAATTTAGGCACAAATGTGATTAAGTTACCTATTAAAGATGATTTTTGTAAGTCTTCAACAAGTGGGTTTTTATTGTAGTTTCTTTGTTTTTGCAATACAAAATGTAAATACATACAATAAACTTGATGTCAAATTTATCAAGTTAAAAAAGAAGATATTTTGAAGAATAAATATCAGTCTTTAATTTGAAGAATGGTCTCATTGTGCCCATTTTTGCCTGTGATTTTCCTGTTGTGTATTTAATACTCACATTTTTGTATTGTACAGTATGCAGTCCTGTCACATGATGTGATTTTAGGACATGCCCAGAATTGGGCATTAATATTTCAAAACTATAAAAATATGAAAATTAAAAAAGTCTTAAAAATATTTCCATGTGTTTGTTTATTTTTTGTTTGTTTCAAAATTGTTTTCTTGAACAAGTTTTATGTCTAAGCTTTTGTTGACCTGGGTAGTGTTGGTAGTTTTCACTCCAGATCACGGCAGTAAGTCACATTTAATTTACCCGAGTAAAGTTCAGCCACCGCATCGTTCCTGGGCAAGCTGTCATGCACTTTACCGGTAATAGTTGCCATCACTTTCACTGATAACTACTGTACACATGCCGTAGAAAGAATTTCATGATCAATCGCAACGAAAGTGACCTTCACAGGCCGGGAATCGAACCAGAGTCGCCATATTCACAGTCCAACGCTCTACCTATTGATCTAACCGGACAGTAATTTTTTTCCTGGGACATAATATATATTATATTATGTCCCGGTGTGGACAAGTTCCGTGTCCATTCTTAAATGGGTGAGTTTTATGTCCATGTTTTTGTGGACAAGTTTCGTGTCTATGCATTCAAGAAGCAGACGATGGTCTTGTTTTTATGACAGTGATGTAAATGCTACTGAGCACACTTGATGATTGTAAATAACATTCAAAATAGCAGCTACAAAAGTCACAACACTCCCAGCATCAAACCCCCTAAAACCTGTTTAAGATCTGATGTTACATTGCTGCTGGTACATTATGTTATGCAATGTTTATGATAAATTCCATTAAAGGGACTCCAATGAGGTCTTCAAGCCTAAAAAACATAAAATTTGAATTTCTTACAAAAAACATCTGCGGCACAGAAAAATATGTAAGTCATTTAAGGTATATACTCTGAATAAATTGAAAATGATATTTTTGTGCTACTTTAGCCCGATTTGAATAAAAGGCGCTTTTTCAATTTTGAATTATTTTTCACAATTAGAATAATCGTTTGAGCGAATGATTTGAAAATGTGCACATGACATATTGGTCTAGACCTACATCATATAGAACATTTATCTCGAAATATTATTTCCAGACCTATCATGTCAAAAAACCTCAGTGGAGTCACTTTAATATATGCAAAAGAGGTGAGACTGGATCATAGTTTTAAACCTTACATAGGTTGTTTCTTATGATTCGTGTACTGGTTCGTTCCAGGAAGCAGAATTTTATTGTATAAACAGTTTGAACAGTTGGAACCGGGCGGTCAAGTGCAAGCACTTATTTCCTGTAGGGTCCCTAGACTCCTGAGACAGCTATGAGATACAAGAGAATCCGGGAACCAGTCCACAGCTCTTATTAAATAGACCCCTCGGTTATTTTACATGTACAGTGTACAGCACTGATACATGCGAGGATTACATGGGTTTCTAACCAGTATACCTCTAACATTGAAAGTGTCTCTGAAAAATCCCAAGTTGAAATAACAATTAATGCGCCGACAAATATTTGTCTACATTGACAAATCCATTCACCGCCAGCTTAGTAAGGAGTTGGTGTACTCTGAATATTCTTTTACTCTATCCTTTCCAGTCCTTTTTTATGCAGAACCCTTGAGGACTTATGTCTGAAGAAAATTGAGGAAAAGTAACCAAACAATTAAAAATCCCCCTTTTTCTTCAATGAATAAATGGTGTTTTATTTAAAGTTATGTCCAAAAAGTTGAGCTTGATTTTAGAAGTTTTAACGATGTTGTTGTTGTTGTTGTTGTTGATGATGATGATGATGAAATCGGCGAGTTTTGACAATTTAGAGAAGGCCTTTGTTGTTCATCCTTTATTTTATTCAAAATAAAATTACATTTTTGTCCCTCCTGACATTATGAAATGTGCCTAGATTATGGTACGGACGTCTGTTCCAACTACAACATCAATTCTTAGTCAGCAGACAGTTGGCAGTCACAGCTATTCTTAAACAAAATAGAACAGAACACCACACTGCTCTTCTCTTGTTTTTCACTTAAAAACATAATTTCGGTTATTATTTTTTAGACAGATTGGCAAGACTTTTTCGTATTTCAAAGGCCAGTGTAAAACTGAAGTCAGTGTGGACTGCATCCACTGAGTACACTAAATATCAGGGACAAAAATATAAATATTTTATTACACAAGATAGTAATTAATAAACAACCTTTTAAGACCGTTTTATGACTCTTCCACCAAGCTGTTAAAGTCCGAAAGCTAAGCATATGTCATCCTTAAAACATATAATAAAAGATGCGCGTCTCTAATATATAACGCGCTGACATACAAAAACATAGTAAGTATGGAAAAGTTGATGAATAGCAAGTGTTTAATGCATTAAAAAACTCTCTTGAAAAACAAATGCACAGAATTCTTTGGTATTAATTTGCATTTATTTATTATTTTTGGAGACAGATTTAATTTACCTGTTTCCTACGACCTTATAAAAACAATCAAACGGAGTGCAGCTGCTCAAATCCTTTCATGAAAAACGCTTCTGTTAAACATACACCTCTTTTTTTACATTTTTTACCCCTATGCTGGTGTTTAAAAAGTACAACACTTGGAGTGAAATTACGGGGAAAAATTCAATCTCAAAGCAACACAGAAAGATCTTTTATTACAAACTTTTCTGTCAACATTCACATGTAGTACCGAAAAACCCTGAGAATCTTTTCTCCAAGGATGCATCGAACCAAATTTGATAAGGATCCGTTGAAAATATATTCGTCGGGGTCATTCAGTACAAAGAATTAAAGCACGATTTGTGTTCTTGTGATGGATGCATATTATTGAGTCATTAGATATTTATCTATCTTTACAAAAATATATTTTTTGCCATTCCTTATTTGATTTTATCTGTTTATCCCGTTGACGAAAACAATAGATACAATTTGAACAAATATGCAGAATATAGATAAAGAAGAAATGCAGAATTCTTGGTTGGATATCTTTTTTAAAATTGTTTCCTGTACTTATTTATTTTAAATGTCATTGTCTATAAAGATTAATTTGATTTTTTAAAGTAAAATTAATCAAGAAATTATTCTAGCAATGTTCTTGCAAGCTTAGATATGTACAGATGCATATTTAGATAATATTTTTCTCTTTTTTCCTTCAATTTTTGTCCCTGGTTTGTATATCATAAGAATATGTGAAGTTTGGTGAAGATCAGATTTAAAAAAAAGCCCTTTATTATGAAAAAGGCTTTGTCTAAATAATGTTCCATATTTACACAGGAGCAAATCACGCATTACGTACCTAAGAAAATAAGACAAAGTAAACACCTACAAAAGTAGACAATCAATTGTTCTAAGACCGGCGCGCCATTTTCTAACATATTCATACAAAGCGTGCCTTTAATGTTCAAATCACAAACTAAAATACTTATTATATATTGCATGCAAATTTAATGACTTCAAATTATAGCTATTTTAACTTACGAGAGAGGCACGGTTTACACCATAAATGTTTTTGCATCGACTTTGGTGGTCCGATGTATCAAACCCACCACACAGATTGTTATCTTTTTATGGATATTGAACAGGGTTTAAATAGCTAACAAATTGCTGTGAAATAAACCTTCAGTGATTGCTGTCAAAAGAACATTTTTGTCACTAAACTGTTTAAAAGTAGCAGATATATTCGTGTAAATAATAAAAAAAGAACCGATGGGAACAAGAAGCTTGAATGCACATTTGTTTGTTAAAAATTCCTCAAGTGTAAACTAGATATACGAACCACCTATCTATTAAAACAATTGTAAGAGAAAATAATAAAAAAAAATTGTTATGATGAACTAATGGTTGATCCATCGCTGGGGAAAATCTTTTGTAATAACAAGATGTCAGTCAAAGTCTTGACAACTGGTTCGTGTTTTATACCACCCAGCATGATTCAGGCCAAGCCTATTATATAGTTTGCTTATCTATAAATAGATCTAAACATGCTAGCTGGCGAGATCTGAGACATGAACGCTGCTAACAAGATGTCTCCAGCCGTGCCTATTTCCCTGAACTAATCTTTTAATTTAAATTATCATGGTGCGTTCTTGAAGAGTTTTAAATCAACGGTCCTGTTTATCTTGATTGGTCAAAGCAGGGGTTACGATTTTTTTAATGTCTTAATCAAATTGGCTTCAATATTTTTAAAAAAAATATTTATATTAGTTTAAGCTTATTTCTTATTTAATTTCTAATTAATATGTCAAGTATTTTCAAGAATTGAGGATATTTCAATTAAACTAAGAATAATTGAAAATGAGTGGATTTGATATTAACTTTAATTATCATAAGCCTAGTTTTGTAGCCGCTTGTAAGTATATAAGTGATTATTCATAACCTGAAAAACATAAGGTACCAAAAAAATGGCAACCGGAAAATAGTTACAAATGAATGTAGACCAGTCTGAAAACCATGCCCTACTATTGGTCATTTTTAAATCTCCACCGATAATCAGCCAATCAAAAACTGAATTAAAACTTGAAGTATGAGACTGGCAACTATTGTTCATTTCATTTACTAGTATTTCTTATTCTGCTTCTTTAACTTTGTGTATGATGGTAAAACAGCCTGGACAGGCTAGTGTGGTAAAGTGAAAGCTTTAAGTTCAATCCCTAAGGCATTTTGCAAAAGATACAAAAAGGTAGTCCTTGCTATGCAACGAAAGAGGAATCTGGCCTATTTCTAAACATGTCTACTGAACGCTCGAATATAATTGCCATTTACTATTTAATGATGTAACCTATTTATTATTATTTGACTAAAAAAAACTTTATCACCACTGCAGTGATGATCTCTCTTCCCCTCCCCCAGCCACATACCCACATACCCTGCAAGCCTTTAGATTAGTTTTTTTTTCTGAACTGGTCAAGATTTTTTTGTAGTTTAGTGTAGTTCAGGAAGAACCTATGACTGAATGTAAAAAGTCTCTCAACAACGGATTAAAGCAAAGAAAATTTAATTTTGTCTGAAAATGTTTGCCTTCTATATAAATTAGGCTGACATATCTTTGTTAGCCAAATATTTTATGATACATGGTGATACATTCCTGTTAAATGAGAAAAAAATCTGTTAAGTTACATCCCTGTCTTTTTGGTAGTGCACAAGTTCTTTACGTTTGAAATCACTTTGACTCTATAGAAATTAAATGGCAAATATACCTTGTTTTTTGTGTTTGTTTGGTGTTTTCCCCTTTGTTTTATTTATTTATTTATTTATTTACTATGAAGGAAGACCTCAGAAGGCACAGAGTGTTACACGAGCAGGATCACCACCTATGACATGAGAAGAAACACGAGACGTATCCCTGACCTTACATAACCTAGCTGCATAGCTTCTTCTTATGAAAGAATCCAAACGACCTGTTGAAAACCAGGTTGAAAACCACAGTGAAGGGCTATTCTTTCGGCCCTTGTGAACTAAACCATACGGTTACGAAGCAATTTTGTAAATTTTGCATGAGCAAAATATTGTATATTTAAAAGACAAGAACCAACAGAAATAGGAGCCCTTAAAATAAGTTAATTTAATCAGTCACATGGTCACCCCATTAAAATTGTCACGAGATTTTTACCCCCCCCCCCCCCCGAAATGCATGTTTAAATTGAAATTCATCTGCAATGTTAAATAAAGAAAATTTGAATCAATAAAACAAACTATATCAAATTCATGATTTAAGGTACACCACCCATCACTGACAAACGATCTTGTCATGCTTATCAATTACAAAACTTGCAACATCACAACAAGTGTCATGGCGTTCATTAAAATCCAATATTGGTGGAGATAATTATATTTATGTTTACTTGGTGTCAGATGTAAAACAATTGCAATGCAATTGTTCGATTATTGCTCTTTGATCTTTAGAGCTAATTTAAAATAAATGAATGATTTGGTTTTAAATGAAGTCCTTAAAATATCCATATTTTTGTCCACTTATTCTGTACTTTTATTTAACTCGCACATATCGGTTAACAGGAGTTACAGTGACTATAGTGAATGGCTTATGAATTTTGAATGGTTGCATTCTGTAAAATACATAACTTAACAAAGTTAAACAAATCTTTGATTGGATAATAGCCTTATTATTTACCTTGTTTACAATAAAAAGGCCACATTTAGTTTTATTAAGTTAATAGTTAGAAGTTACTCTAGATTAACACCAAATGAGGAGTTGCAGGAAATGTGGGAAATTTATGCCACTTGAAAAAAGAGCCGGTCAGCAAGATGCTGTTTTTATGACAAAACCAACAATGGGTTTGCGACCAGCATGGATCCAGACAAGCCTGCGCATCCGCACAGTCTGATCAGGATCCATGCTGTTCGCTAACCAACCATATTACAAGTAGAGAAACTGATAGCGAACAGCATGGATCCTGATCAGACTGCACAGATGTGCAGGCTGGTCTGGATCCATGCTGGTCGCAATCTCAATATGTTGGTTTTGTCATGACGCGGCTCATAAGCTTCAATAATTGAATATAAAACATCCCCGAGTTTGACAATGGACCATTCAAAATTCAAACCAGGGCAAGTTCATTACACAAATCACAGATTGTGGGGGTGGGCAGGGCAGGGCAGATTAAACGCTTCATAAATTATATTCATGCCTTATGTTCATCTACTTATTTACTATTGATTGACAACAATGTGCCATTCAAACAACAAAATAGATATATTCCCTACATCTTATACAATATTAAATGTATAATTATTTATTGCTTTCTCTTCGTACAAAGGTGTTATTGTTCATATGAAATTGGAAATTGAATTCAGCAAAATCACTGCTTGGTGAATTTATCATTTCTGAATGAAATAAAACACTTTTTAAAATGATTTTAAAAAAAAAGGTATGAGCCTTCAACTGAATCCACAATAAATAACTACAAACAAAATCGAAATATTTCTCAAGACAAAGGGGAGAACAGTGGCCTAGTGGTTAAGGTGTTCCCTTTACCCCGCGGTCGTAGGTAAGAGTCCCTCTAGGGCTACGACCATGTTTCCTTATATGAAACCAGTACTGATTAGTTCCAGGAATTGAATTTGAGATTAGTTCAAATCTACAAGCCTTCTTTAAACTCGAGTATAACACTTAATTCTTGATACAAGTTTCTTTTTTCCAGATCACATTTTTTTCTCTAGAACAAATTTCTCAAGAAATATAAATGAAATTTGGTTCTACTCCAAGAAATCGTACCCCCTTGGCATTTTTTCGTTAATCTCATTTTTATTGTCAACACAATGCAATAAATTTATATCGTGTAATTTGGGATCTACTTTTCTAACTCGAGATTTATTACTACACAGGTGAAATTACTAATATACAGCTGCAGTTTTCGCTTCTTTCATAAAAAAATCCCGAGACTTCCTCACACACACATGTATGATTACATCCAGATCGGTTTGCGTCAAAAATCTAATAATTGTTCAAGTTGGTCGAGTTTAGTTACGTTTGAAGTAACACCGACACTGTCTAGGGCAGGCCATACGGTGACTTACCAGCCTTACTGGTTGAGGAAGACCTCAGATTCCCTTTATTCATTATTTCAGGCACGCATATGTACCAGAGTAGAACCACCTACTTGGTTATCTTCCTCACACTGAAAGAATTCAAGTTAACATTACATGCTAATTAAAGGACTTGATTAGCATCCTGCAGAAATGTGTGAAGTTTGAGTATCTTCTTTGCATAATTAAATATAAAGTTGCATGATCAACTTTTAGAGTATTGAATGATAGCCTCACCATTCTTCAAAGAATTTACAAACAACATATCAGATCAAATGTAATTTTTTTATCCCTCTACAATGTGTATGGAATTAAAAAATATGGGCCAAGTATCATGCTTCTAAAACAACAGAATGGGGAAAAGAAGAAAAAAAACATGAAATATTCAGTAAATTTATTGACACAAAATCATGAAAACAATACCCAGAGGGTGTCACTTTAAATAATACATCAATAAATAATGTATTTGCCTTTTTATCACTTGTCTTTTTATGGAGACAAAGATAGTATAACTGTAGGTTTATCCAATTTCTAAGTCATTTTACTTTCAATGATTGAGAGTTAGGGAAATTATAAGTGCATCTGAATTTTTTCCATCAGTTTTCAACAGTAAAACATTAAATCAACATTTTACATCTTTTAAACACCAGAATTTAACATATGAATTATAATTATTGTACATGTAATTTTTTCTTTAATAAAATACTAAAAGTATTTTTGATATTACCATTCTTTCTTATTACATATTTAAATGTTTATGTATATGCAAGTCATTTTCATTTCAAATGTAAGCAAACAACATTATTTCTAATTATTTGTGGGGAAAAAAACTAAACAAACATGACCATAAGGTTAAAGACATAATGAAAAACAGAGAACTAAAGTATAAAGAAATTCCAATAGTGTACATGTATGTCACCTGAATAATGATTAAATTTATATGAGCACATATGAAACAAAAAATGCAATTGTGAGAAAAATAAAAGATAAATTTAGCAACATTGCATGAACATAGCACTTTGGGGAGCCTAAAACAGAGAGAATTATATAAAGAAATGTTCATAAATCCATTCACCAAATCTACTGTCACTCTGTCTTCATTATCATATCCGCCATCATTCACCAACAGAACAAAACTTAGTGTTTTCCCTCCAATATATATATATTTATAAATAGTTCAAATATTTACTAAAGATCACGTTTGTTTTGTAGTCATCATAAATATTGATAAGTTTTCAGTCTAGTATTTAGCTGTATAAATCGTCATCACCCTCCTCAAATTGTCCCCCTGGGTTGCCTCCCTGACTTGGTCCCTGGTTCCCGGCAGCTCCTGGGAATCTAAAAATAGAAAAGCAATATAAAAATTAGTCTTATAATAATTATTGTAAGTTATTCTTATAGATGTATGTTTTAAACGAAAAATGTGGTGAAGATGGCCATTCACTTGTAGAATGGTACAAAATTCTGAAACACTTGTTAAATAACTGCCCACTTGTGAATGACAAAAATATTTTCAAACTGGCAATAAGTCTATCAAAACAAATATTCTTATTTATCATTATCAATGTTTGGTACTCAGCAATAAAATAAACACCCTAAAACTTGCCCTATGGACTCCTGCTATGGTTTTTTTTATTCAGGAATAATGGATGGATGAACTACCTAAACTAAGTCGACATTTCAATCAAGTCTAGTAAATCTTTATTATCATAGTAAAACGCTAAAACTATCTTGTACATATAATTTGCATACAATAAAGTGTGAATGTATGTAGGACAAACAAGACCTAATGGGTGATCAATCAATTTTACTGTTATGTATTATCAATCACTACAATGTTTGATACTAAGATGCACTTTCATTTAATACAGTTGCCTGGGTTTTTAAAGGCACATCAATTCACATCAAATCCATGACAAACACTTTGTGAAAAAACTTTTAGTATGTTCAGATACAAAGAATGTTATGTGAAATTTACTGTACCCAAAGGGTAATGGTTTATCATTTACCCCATTTTAATATGGTGATTATACACTATGGAATTGTCATGCTTTCAACTTAGAATAGTCCATTGTAAACTTTTTGGATTTTAATTGATTAGCCAATTGTACAAAGTTCGATTAGAAAGTACGGACATCCAGAATAATCTGGCCTTAGACTGTTGGCATGTGGTGTTCATCTTCAGGGAGTTAAAATGATTTTCATAATATATATCAATACACTTATATGATAGATAATAAGCAAATAAAAGAGGATGTATACCGTAATTTATAAAATACCTAAATTCAATCAAATGCCTCATTTTGTTGAGTAAAACAAAATTTTCAGTACCAAAAAAAAAAAATATAAAAAAATATTAACATTTCTGTCATGACCTTGCAGTTTAATATTTTACTTTGTAATACACTGTAACAATAAAAATATGAATGAAGAAAAAATCCCTTCAATATTTATTACTTATTCATACAATTTTCATAAATCATTACAGCTCACTTTAAATAAATAATTCAAACACTTCTGAAAATGTTTACCAAAAAAAAAGCCCTTAGAAATTAAACTTATATTCATACAGATGTTCTTTCCCCCTGCAAACCAGCAAATATATAATCATATATGACACAATAACTGGTGCATTGGTCTTTCATCATTTTAAGTTTTCAGGGTTTCATTGAGCCCTGAGAGGTGACTTTAATACCGTTGTTGACAGTAGTGGTCCCCAGCTCGTCAGGCATATATTTCGAGCCGTGACAAAATACAGTAGTTCTAGGTAGACACTTGACAATTATGTGTCACAGCTGCAGACCACACAAGTCTACACACTAATAAACTGACAATCATCTTCCCAAGGGAGGTAATAAATACAGCAATAATGCATTCAGGAAATAAATCAAACATCAGACAAGTAAAGGGAGGTAACTTATTAATTTTATATCTCACCCACAGGGATGACACACATTACTGCCCTTAAACACTGTCAATTCATACAACATGTTACATATTAATGGGCTAAATAAAAACATAAATTTCTATGCATTTGAATACATTAAAATCTTATTCTGTACAAGCATCATAAAAGTAAAGAAATATTTGAACTAATTAGAACTGAACCATCCTAAAAAACATTTTGTTTTATATGAAGGTATTGTACAAGAAATTTCTAATGCTGCAATTTTCTTCCCATGTTAAATTAGTAAATTCAGTACAGTTGTATTTAGCTCATCAACATAAATATTTCAATTAGCAATCAAAAATAAGCTTAAGTTTCTATTGCAAAATTAACTTCATGAAACAGTATAAATACAATCTCTATACAGGGATTTTCCTAGTAATTTCTGACAGGGGATTTTTTTTTTAAATCAGACAGTAAAAACTTAAAACAATGCCAGTAAATCAATATGGTAAATAGTGTAAGTTAAAAATTCATCAAGTCTTTATATAATAAGGGCATCAATCAACACAGCTTTATCTGTTATGACTAAATATTAAAATTATTTATGTGGTTACTCTAATTTTATTTGTTTTTCATATATTTCACCACAGGTGTGTGCCTGTTTGTATACAGCCGTATGTATGCTTTATATCCATATGTAGGCTGCCTGTATCAATTTTTTTTAAAAGATCATGTCATAGTTTTAATAAACTTAAAGCTAAAAACTTTGAACTTTAAAAATAAAGGTGTAGAAAGGTCAGGAGCAGGTACATAAAAGTCAACTGCTATTGATGCTTACACTTATCATATCACACCAGGTAGAGCAATTCCTTTATAACTTTCACATGTCTGCCAATTTTAATAGCAGTACTAAATTTATATCTTCAAAACACTAAAAATAGGCAAGGCAACTTACCAACATTAATGACACAAATCTTACAGTCTTTCTAAATATTATGGTTGAATGAACTACATGCCCTATATTTAAACACTAACTTCTAATAAAAGATCCTTAAAACTGGGAGATCTGAACTTAAGATCTGTACAGCAATGTACATGTATTGATTAACTCAAACCCAATGCAGAAACAAAATAATACGGAACCATAAATGTACATGTCAAATCTGGCCATGAGAATTTAATATTAAGACACAGTTGAAAAAAGTGACAAAAACACACCCAAAATTGCAACATTAGAACTTAACCAATAACAGGTGAGAGTTTCAAGCTTTCTACTCAATCTTGGTTGAAATTTTGTTTGAAAATATGGAAGAAATAAATATTGTTTAAACCAATCTATACTATGTTAAATATCTCAAATGGACTTATCCATCTTTCAATCTGGACAAAACCATATATAACAGTTGAGGAAACTTGTCAAAAAATATTTATTTTTTTTGGTCAAAAAATAAGTACAGACTGAATAAGAACAGCGCAGACAATGATCAGACAGTACAGGTGGGATAATAATGATATTTACCTGAAATTTCCTCCGAAGCCTCGACTCTGTTGCAGCGTCTGTGCAAACATTTCATACTTTCTGATGTCATTGTCCGACACAGATCTGCGGGCAAACTTCATCGCCTCCTCAAAGTGAGCGCGAACAATTTCTGGAACTGGATCGTATTCTTCCACCTCCTGACAAATGAAAAGAATTGGTGGTGTTTTTTTTAGTCTGTATGAACAAAATTAATAAAGTCATCATGAACAAACATTTATTTTTATTTAGGACCAACAGAACCAAAAAAAGTTATTAAGGACCAAAAAAGATTATAATCTATCATAGGTTTTATGAGCAGAAAATGCTAAAAGTTTAATGATAATATATGAAGTATCAGTTACACTAAAAAAATTTCCAGCATCAGTATAATCAGTAGAAATTTCTAAAGAAGATAATTCCCTACTTCCAAATTCAAAGTAAACTGAAACTTTGAAGTTCCTTTAAGATCACAAGAATTTTGGTCAAATTTTGATAGGAAAGTTTTACGTTAATAAGTATCAACGTAACTGATTAGATATAACATTGGGGCATTAACTTACCATGTCGGCATCTGGGTTATCTTGTCTCATCCTCTCTTGCCTGATCTCGGCTTCAATAGACTGACGGATCGCCAATTTACACGCTCGCTGACAAATCTCCGTCAAATCAGCACCAGAGAAACCGTGGGTCACCTTTGCCAGGTAGTCTAAATCTACATCCTGAAAACAAATGCACAAAGTTCTATATATACAAATGACTTTGGCCACAGATTTTAAGAATAAATTTTTGTTACCGACTTTCTTAAAGAATTGTTCAGCTTCCATTTATGACATGGAGATGTCAAGATGAAAACTTTCATTTGGTAAGTCAACAAAATAAAGAGCTGCTTAGGCAATGTTCACTATTGGTTATTGCATTAATTTATTTTTTTTAATTCATCAGGTTCCAAGTCAAACTAAAACTTAAATGCAGTGCAGCAATCCTGATAATAGTGAAGATGTGCAAAATATTTTCTTTGTTTACATTTAGCAAGGGCTTACAGATTATTTTTCTGTACAATTTGAGAAAATGAAAAAAAAAATCAAATATTACTCAAATCTACAGATATTACTCAAAACCATTAAATCAATTTGCAACATTAACTGAACTTACTGGAGCAACTGGTGATTTTTTTAGGTTAGCCTTCAAGATTTGAATCCTTGACTTCTCATCAGGTAGTGGAATATAGATAAGCTGGTCAAGACGACCAGGTCTAAGAATAGCTGGATCTATAATGTCTGGTCTGAAATAAAATTGACAAGATTAACTTAAACAACATGTTTATCAAGTTGTGGCATAAAAAATATGCGCAAAGTATCAAACTGTAATTTATAAAGACCTGTCTGATCTATCTAAAACTAAGGAACATCAATCCTAAAAGAATATGTTTGACTTCTTCAATGCAAATTACATGTATGCCAATAATTTCCCTTTTAGCCTGAAATTGATTTTAAATCATGTAACTTACACATCACAAAGCTATCACTCTTACAGCATTAAGAATAATGAATTTAATGAATTTCGATACAAAGAGAAAAATATCAACATTTATTTAATTACCTATTTGTTGCACCAATGATGAAAACATTTTTCTTGGCATTCATACCGTCCATTTCTGTCAAAAGCTGATTGATTACACGATCTGCAGCGCCACCTATCAACAAAATATAAACACTTTGAACGGATGACACAAATAGTTAAAACACTTGAAAATTTATGACAAAATGCTATTATATTTCTTTTTATTGGCTTTGCTGTCACACGGTCATGTTAAGTTCAAGTATATACATATATTGCCACTTCTCAACTTATGGTAACTTGCAGATGATGATTTAACATATTCCCTTCTATAAAAACATTTCTATCACCAGAAGAACCATCAGCCTTCCTTTGGCAAGCTTGTTAGCTTCTTTCCATGACATGATTCTATATCCCCCGATTGAATTTTAACCCATAGCAGTGAGTGTTTTATTTATTTAAAGTAACAGTAGAAACTTGGCCACTTAAGTCATTATACAAATGAGCTGCGCCACGACAAAACCAACATAATGGGTTTGTGACCAGCATGGATCTGCGCAGTCTGATCAGGATCCATGCTGTTCGCTTACAAACCCTATAACAAGTAGAGAAACTGATAGCGGACAGCATGGATCCTGATCAGACTGTGCGGATGCGCAGGCTGGTCTGGATCCATGCTGGTCGCAAACCCATTGTGTTGGTTTTGTCATGACACGGCTCAAATATAGCAAAGAAACACAATAACGTACCTCCATCTCCAGCGTTACCACCTCTAGATTTGGCGATAGAATCCAACTCATCAAAGAAGAGAACACAAGGTGCAGCTGATCTTGCCTTAAAGTAAATAAGAAAACCATTTAACTTAGATAGAAAAAATATCTCTCCAGTTTATATATAAGATAAACTTTTGAATGGTTTCAATTGTTTTAAAAATGTTTTAAAAACTTTCATCAACAGATTTGGTCAGGAAAAATTAGCATAACTTAAGTAAATTCAATGATTTTTTTTTTTAATTTATTGATATTTTGGTATCATACACATATTTTTACTATTATTAAAAACAAGATTAGTTTTATTGCAAATAAACAATATTTACCTTATCAAAGATTTCTCTGACATTAGCTTCTGATTCACCGAACCACATTGTCAACATTTCTGGACCTTTGACAGAGATAAAGTTTGCCTGGCACTCGTTAGCAATGGCTTTAGCCAGCAGCGTCTTACCACAACCTGGTGGACCGTAGAACAAGACTCCCTTTGATGGTGTCATACCAAACTTCAAGAACTTTTCTGGATGCTCAACTGGGTACTGGAAAAACAAACAAACATTAATAAAATGTCAAATGTGTTGCATAAATTGTTAATATAATAATAATGACACAAAATGTTTTACCAAAACAAAATCAATAATTAAACAAAAATGAGAGTTCATTTATAAGGTGAAGATTTCTTGTATTGAAAGTTTTGAGGTTTTTGGAAGATTTTTTTAAAATTCATAATCTCAATCAGTATTTTAACATTTAAGTTTTATTTCCAGTCAATACTTAAATCACCATTTACACAACAAACTCTGAACACATTTTTAGCTTGCTGTTCACTAAGCTGAGTAATGTAACTGAAACTTTATTATTAAATGTTTCTTTAACAATACTAAACTGTATTAGTTTTTAACTGACATTCATTTGAAAACATTTTTAATAATTTGGGATACAAACCTGTACAAGTTCCTGTAACTCTCTTTTGACATTCTCCAAACCTCCAACATCGTCCCAGGTAACTGTAGGTACCTCAACAGCTGTTTCTCTTAAAGCACTTGGGTTACTCTTACTCAATGCCCACTGTAACAAAACAAACAAAATTTCAATAAAGATCCAGTTTGCTCACTTATTCCTTGAAATCCTTTCTAGGTTGTATCAATATTAATGTTTAAAAGGATAAATGTTTCACCTATTATGCTGGTTTTTAGTTAATTTTAAAGCCATCAACACTGTTAAGGTCATAGGACACGATTAAGGTCACACAATGACTTTCAAACTTCATAGGTGGGGAAAAAACAACAACAAGACAAGCATTATTTAAAGCATTTAGCAAGGAATTTTGTAGAATCACAGATAATGAATAAAAATATTTTATTATCAAAATATGAAATCTTATCATACCCTGAAATCATCCATGTTTACAGCTAAAGAATCCAAAACTTCAGCATCTATGTGCTCATCCTCGAGATCTATCAGATCCATCTTCTCTCGGATCTGTTGTAATGCAGCCTCTGAACACAGGGCTGCAAGATCAGCACCAACGTGACCGTGGGTCTCTGACGCAACCTGTAAAAATGTGATAAAGAATTGAATTTCATGCTTTGAAGAATATCATTTCAGAATTGTAATCTTTTCCTGCTTTTAAACATTTTAATTCTTGGTAAGAGGATGTTTTGGTTTTCTAAATTATATGCTGATTATAACATTTTTTAGTTATATTTTTGAGATTGATCCACCTAATCTCTGTAAGCTACCAACTTATAATCCAACACATTTTCAGAATCAGCGATGATAACTTAACATAACTGCATGATGAAATTTCCTCTGGCCTGAGGATCGAATGTGTAATAAAACTTAACCACCTTTCAACCAATGACCAAAAATACATCAAAAACCTGTTATAAATCAATAACAACCAAAATTATTAACAATTTCAAACATTGTCAGTGACAGCTAAGCCTTGTGTTTGTCAGTGCAAAACAAATTATTTTCGTATCTCTATAAACTTTATTTTTTGCTAGTGAGCTTTTTTTAAATATAAGATTGAAACTGTAGAAAATTCTCACTTGTTCAAGATCTACATCATCAGACAGTTTCATGTTCTTTGTGTGGATTCTGAGGATTTCAAGACGACCTGTTGCATCTGGGATACCAATATCTACTTCTCTGTCAAAACGACCTGTCATAAATACCAGTACATTCTCATAAAATAAGCAAAAAATAAACAAACAAACTAAGTCATGCAGGTGATAAAAAAAAAAAACAACGTCCCCTGTGTGTCATCTGTCTATTTCTATAATATTTTCATAAACAGCTGTCAAAGTAAAAGATTTCCCTGAAAATCTGTTAACATACTTAAGTGAAACACAGGATAATTAGTTTCAAATTCTTATCAAAAACTTTTTTTAATCGACGTTAATGATATAATAATTTCAAATAATGATTTTGATTTCTGATATGTCTAATCACCATATCTATAATTCTATTTCTTTCCTTTTAAAACAGATTTACAATAGAGCTTTTTCGAACTTGGATATCATAAGATATGTTCACAAGACTTTTATTTATGAAAAATTCATTTGATACAGTGCTATTGTAAATACCATCAATTAAACAAGTATATTTGTAAACACACCAAGCTCACACTGCTCACGACAACATGCTTAATTTAGTATTGAACCACATATTAATCATGCTAGTATAAGTATCTTAAAAGTACTCGCTCCCCAATCCCCAAGGGAAACATTCCCAAGACCTAGAGCTATTATATCTTTTTTTTCCAATTCAAAAATAGAAATTTGGTTACAGTTTTCTGAAATTTCTTAATGCCTTATAGAAAAAAATGGGAGAATTGTAAATGTTAAAACTTTCATCACTATTTTAATCTTATTTTACATATAGCTTCAATTATTCTGAAATTATTTGTAGCTTCGAATATTCTAGAAATTAAATGTAGCTTCCATTATTCTATGATATGTAGTTGTAATTATTCTGAAATTAAATGTAGCTTCAATTATTCTAAAATTATATGTAGCTTTCATTATTCTAAAATTATGTAACTTCCATTATTCTAACATTCTCCATTTAGAATTTTTAATTCCACTGGTGTTAGTTCCCAATTGATAATAAGAACTTTGCAATAAACCCTGCATGAAAGTAAAATCATATGGAATGATGTTTTGGGTAAAAAACAAACATATCATTTTGAAGTAAGCTGCGACTGCATTGTATGTGTTAACTCACATTTGTTAAAAACAATTCAAGCCAATATTATGAAACTAGTAAATCATCCATAAGCTTCAAATGCAAACGTTTTCAAGGTAAATGTTATAACATAAGAAATTCCAATATTGAGTAATACTGGCATAATTATGATGACATTATAATTAAATTCTTGTTTGTTTGAACAGCATCTCACTTGCATCATAGTAGCCATTAATCATTTAAATGCCATCAGCAATAGTGATTTGTCTATGTCACAAGCATAAAGCTAGGCCTGTCTTCAAATCTACATGTAGGTAGAATGACAAGACACTGACTATTGCTACAACGATTCACCAATTGTTCAACTTGATTTCTGACACCCTGACATCCATTGTTTTTTATTCGATTCAAAAGTGATGAAGTACTATTTTATCTTTAATGGGCAATTCTGCTTATGCTCTAAACAGTCGCCTAGTCAGAAAGGGACTGAATCTGGCTTTTTTTCGTGTTCATTTTTAGTTATCAAATCAAAATTGTTGTAGTTTATGTCGGAAATCAAATCAGCGCCCACAAAACCTCTAATATCGACACTGCTTAACTTTAGCATTTTTATAATAAAACTGCTTATAATAATGACAGTTCTAAATTAAAAGAATTTTTAAGTTCCTAATATCAACAATGAAACATTCCAAATCAAAAGCACAGCAAATTTAGCAGTGTTCATATCATAACATAGTTATGCCAGCATATTAGCTATACATATATCTATTCGGAGTATATATTCTGGTAAAAATTGCTTAATGCACAATCATATACATAAACATATGCAAGCTAAGGGTAATATATCTGAATATATGTATAAATGTTCTTTAATAACAGTTGCTGGGTAAATGCTAATTAATTGCAGGAAGAAATCAAAACATTAGATCTATCATCAAAAAGAATTTCTCAAAACAAAAAGGATGAAAACAAGAAATTTTTCTGCATATAAAATTAAGTTTCAAAGATGCTTTTTGATAACTTATTTTTAATTTTATCTATAAATGAAGAGTTTTTATGTGTGCTGACTTTGTCAGTAAGATTTACAAATTTGGAAAAATTTACTTCTAGCCAGAAATTCTTTAACAATAAAGAACCAATGAATAATAGGTCTTAATCATTGATTATTTGCAGTTTTTACATTTTTTTGTAAATCTTGCTAGAAAAAGCTTCCTAGCATAATTGGAAAAGAACATAGTTCATAAACACAATTCTGGTACATGAAATTTCTACCTGTTTAGATGGCAACAAAACATGAAAACCAAAAAATCTGAATCGTTTCCTTTTAAAATCCAAGCATTTCAGGAAATGGATAATTTTGCGCTCCAATAAATCAAGCACTGGGGTACATTTTGTTATATGCCATACTCACCAAACCTTCGTAATGCCGTATCAATACTGTTCGGTCTATTTGTAGCGGCCATGACTATAACATGTGACCGCTGTTTAAGACCGTCCATCAGTGTTAGCAACTGAGAAACAATACGTCTCTCCACTTCTCCATGCGTCTACAAAATAAACTTTTCATTAGCATCAAACTCACCAAATCGTCTTAGAGCGGCATCAATACTGTTGGGCCTATTTGTTGCCGCCATTACAATAACATGTGCACGCTGTTTAAGACCGTCCATCAAAGTCAGCAACTGTGATACAATTCTACGTTCCACCTCTCCATGTGTCTAAAGGTAAACAGTTTAAATATGTTCATTATTTACAAGTTAAATATATTTTCATTGAAATGCTGTCCTCTCCGGGCTAAAACTGTAGATTGTCTGACAGGGAAAAACATAAATACATCAGCAAATAATATGTGCAGCAGGTCAGTGTTCACCAATCTGGATCATAAAGAAGCATATTCAGCTGCCTTGATTTGTTATATGGCCAAGACACTCGAAGAAGGAGAAATTGTCATCTTCAGCTTCCCCCAATGCAGCATCAAAACAAGCTAAAGTATACATAATCTTGCTGACAGGTTCTAACAAATTGATCAGATCAAGGTTTTTATATGCATCGGAAAATAATTTGAACAATTTTTGTCAATTTTAAAGAGAATATCAATGTATTTCCCAAACTGATAAAAGTATTACCTTTTCTCTCTTTGGTGCAATAGCATCCAATTCATCAATGAAAATAATTGCCGGGGAGTTCTTTTCTGCTTCTTCAAAAGCTTTTCTCAAGTTGCTCTCAGATTCTCCAGCTAACTTGCTCATTATCTCTGGACCTGTAAATCACATCAGAAATAGCGTGAGCTATTAACACATCACAAAGATATAATTTTGTATCACCACTTTGAACAAATCCAGTATTGTTGGTTTAATCCCTATTTTGATGAATTTTGGTAAACAAACTGGTTTGTTAATGAATGTTATCTTCCCCTAAAATGGTGTCCAAATTAACAATTAGTTTGTACATTTTCAAAACATTTCATTTCAGGTCTAAAATTGTTCTTGTTGGGGTGAATCTGGGCCAGATCTCAACAGGGTGAATTAAAATATTACTATAATGTACTTTGAAATTTATTTTTAAGTATCATCGTTTTTCATTTGTAATACTTTGGAAGATTTTCATGTTAAAGCCCAAAGGTACCTAAGCAGAACCCATCATTTGATCTACATTAAGCTCAAAAACTCATATACATAGCAGTTATTTACTAAGGAAATGAAAGCCACAACCCATAACCACTTGAATAAAAAGGCGTCCACCAAAACTTTTTCTAAATGCTAACTTACCATTGATGAGAAAGAAGAATGCGCCTGTCTCGTTGGCCACAGCTCTGGCAATCAGTGTTTTACCTGTACCAGGGGGCCCATACAATAAAATACCTCTAGGTGGCTGTAAGTAACAAAATAATGATATTTTTTTTACAGTTTAAAAAATGCAATTTCTAACATAATGAAGACAATGTACTGCCTTTCTGGATATTTCATTAAATAACCTTTTTCAATCACAGAATTTACATTTGTCATGGCAATTTTTTACTTCACAGCTTAAATAATTTGACATATGAACTGATCCTTTCCTTCTTTTCTAGTGAACAAAAACAAATATATATAGTAGAAATGTAAAAAATTAGATATAAATATGATGATGATTACCTTCAACAAATAATTTAAAATCTAATAAACATTGCAGCAGGCTAGATACAAAATTTTCTTTCTAGCAATAATGTACTTTTGAAATTTATTTTTAAGTATCATCGTTTTTCATTTGTAAACTTTGGAAGATTTTCATGTTAAAGCCCAAAGGGTTGATCATTTGATCTACAGCTCAAAAACTCATATACATAAGTTACTTACAAAGGGAATGAAAGCCACAAACCATTTGAATAAAAAGGCGTCCACGCATAAATTTTTCTAAATGCTTACCATTGATGAGAAAGAAGAATGCGCCTGTCTCATTGGCCACAGCTCTGGCAATCAGTGTTTTACCTGTACCAGGGGGCCCATACAATAAAATACCTCTAGGTGGCTGTAAGTAACAAAATAATGATATTTTTTTTACAATTAAAAAAATGCAATTTCTAACATAATGAAGACAATGTACTGCCTTTCTGGATATTTCATTACATAATCTTTTTCAATTGTAGAATTTACATTTGTCATGGCAATTTTTTACTTCACAGCTTAAATAATATGACATATGAACTGATCCTTCTTTTCAAGTGAACAAAAACAAATATATATAGTAGAAATGTAAAGAATTAGATATAAATATGATGATGATTACCTTCAACAAATAATTTAAAATCTAATAAACATTGCAGCAGGCTAGATACAAAATTTTCTTCTAGCAATAATAAAAACTTCATTGAAACCAGAATTTCTTTAAACCGTCTTTATATGTTCATGATATTTGCTTCTGTCAACACTGGCTACAAACTATTTATTGTGAACTGATAGCTAATTTCATTTCAGTGAAAAGTGAAGACTAATATCTTAATAACTTACCTTAACACCAATAGCTTTGAAAAGTTGTGGATGTCTGAGAGGAAGTTCTACCATTTCTTTGATTTGAGCGAGCTGTTTCCTACATCCTCCAATATCATCATACCCTACCTCATTTAGTTGTTCTTCTTCCTCCTTTAATACAAACAATATACATTCAATCATAGAACAAGGGTATTTGCGGAAGATTTGCCATCACATGTGCAAGAAATCAGAAGAATGGCGTTCAATATTTCAAATACTTTTAACATTAATCAGGACTCTCAAGGGCATTTTAGAGCGGGTCCAGGGTCCATGCAACTGATCAATCTCATCTACATCTGCTAATAATGCTTCAATATGGAGATTTTTTTTCAAATAATAGTGAAACTATACTATTTTAAAGGGGAGGGGATGGGATGAGTATTAAGCCCTAAACTTTGCCAAACAAGAGTTCGGATCATTTAAGAGAGTGTCTTCATTCAAGGCCTAATGTTTTAGGCATATGGTTGGTGATGTTTTCACATGAGACTGGTAGTGGGTAAGTTCCAGGAAGCAGACAAGTGGTTGGGAATGGATACATTACCTGACCTATATGTAGAAGGGAAACAAGAGGGCCATGATGGCCCTGAGGACGCTCACCTGTATATAGCCCCTCCCCCCTTTGTCCCCCCCAGCAGGGCCAATTTTAACCCAAGGGCTTTTATTTGAACAAACTTGGTAGACACCCATAAGAAGATGTTTCATGCTAAACATCTAAGCTCTAGCTCATTGGGTTTTTTTAAAAGAAGATTTTTTAAGTTTTTACTGTACACATATAGTTAAAAACAATGACACCCCTGGGGCGGGGCCAGTTTTGACCCAAAGGATTTTATTTGAACAAACTTTGTAGACACTTACTAGAAGATGTTTCATGCCTAATATCTAAACTCTAGCTATTTGGGTTTTTTCAAAGAAGATTTTTAAGTTTTTGCTATACATATATAGGGAAAATCAATGACCCCCGGGGTGGGGCCAATTTTTACCCCAGGGCTTTTATTTGAACAAACTTTGTAGACACTCACTAGAAGATGTTTCATGCTTAATATCTAAACTCTAGCTAGTTGGGTTTTTTCAAAGAAGATTTTTTAAGTTTTTGCTATACACATAAAAGGAAAATCAATGCACCCCGGGGCAGGGCCAATTTTGACCCCAGGGCTTTTATTTGAACAAACTTGGTAGACACCCATTAGAACATGCTTCATGCAAAATATCTTAGCTTTAGCTATTTGGGTTTTTTCAAAGAAGATTTTTTAAGTTTTTGCTATACACATATAAGGAAAATCAATGACCCCCGGGGCCGGGCCAATTTTGACCCCAGGGCTTTTATTTGAACAAACTTGGTAGACACCCATTAGAACATGTTTCATGCTAAATATCTTAGCTCTAGCTCTTTATGAGTTCTTTAAAAGAAGATATTTTTAAGTTTTTACTATATGCATATAGGGAAAATCAATGACCCCTGGGGCGGGGCCAATTTTGACCCTGGGACTTTTACTTGAACAAACTTGGTAGACACTCATTAGAAAATGTTTCATGCTAAATATCTTAGCTCTAGCTCTTTGGGTTCTTTAAAAGAAGATTTTTTAAGTTTTTACTATATGCATATAGGGAAAATCAATGACCCCCTGGGGCGGGGCCAATTATGACCCCTGGGCTTTTATTTGAACAAACTTGGTAGACACTTACTAGAAGATGCTTCATGCCAAATATCTAAGCTCTAGCTCTTAAGGCTTTTTAAAAGAAGATATTTAAAGTTTTTTCTTGCGGTTGCCATGGCAACCAGAGTTCTGCATGGAATTAAATTATTTGAACAATTCTTAAAGGTGACCACCAAAGGAACATTCCTGTGAAGTTTTGATGAAATTGGCTTAGTGGTTTATGAGGAGATATCATTTAAAGTAAAAGTTTACGGACGAAAATCGATCACAAAAGCTCACCCTGTCACTTTGTGACAGGTGAGCTAAAAATAAGTAGAAATTTTAAGATTTATATAGCAAAACCTAAATTAATTGACATACCTCTCGTTTGACTGGTTCTCCCTCACAATGTATTACTGTATCTGGGGCTACTATACAATATGGAGACGGGTCTGTTTCTACGACTTTAAATTCTACAGCTCTCATACCACCTCGTACAAGGAAAATATCACCCTTCTTAATAGGTCTGTATGCCTCAAGGAAATATGGTTTCAGGAATACTTCAAACAGATTACTGAAAAATGAATTCAGAACTATATAATTACATTTTAGTATAAAGAGTACTACTTGCATGTTTTTATGATCATCCCCCCCCCCCCAATAAAAAAAATGTGTGACACTAACAATATGTTTCTAATATTAATACTGAAGATCTATTTGACAAAGACTAACAACTGTATCAAAATGACAACAAGTTGATGCTTTAACATCTGAAACTCGCACAAACCAAACAAAATGACCACTGGTCTACTGGTACCAATGCTGGTATCAAGCTCCCAGGTCACCGTCTTTTTATGTTAGAATAAACCAATTCTAAACCTGAGGGTGGTCTCCATTGAAACTTGCAACACAAAGTCAACATAAACTTGGAGTAATACCGACATTGACTAACAAAATATTTTTAAAGATTCTTACCCTGTGAGTCCTTCTACAGTGTCATCTATGGGAAGTACATGTATTCTTTTGCCATATTTTACATCTGGACAAGCCTGAATGCTGCAAGTATAAGATATACTGCTTGAATTGAAATCATGTAAATACTTAAAGGGTAAGACTTTGCAACATCTTGAATCTAAATTTTAGGACTGTCAAGAGTCTATGACAGTATCATAACTAAATATTCTTTCAGGTTTTTATAAGGATTATGGCAATTACAAACACGCAGAGTTTTATATTCCAGTGATTTTTTTTTTCAATTTTCAAAACATATGTTGGCTTTTTTTTTTAGAGGAAAATATAGCAGGATAAATCAGAACTAGAAATGTGTCATCATGCCACGGATGCCCCCGCATGCAGCCAAAATTTCAAATGTTATAATATTTAGTTCCAAATTTGTTTGCACACATTATTTTTTTCATTCTAAGTTCAAAGCCCTTAAAACTTTTCAATGTTAACACAAACCATTTTTATACAATGTTCAAGGCACTGAAATTATTCAGTCTTAACCATTTTTATACAATGTTCAAGGCACTGAAATTATTCAGTCTTAACCTTTTAAAAATAGCATATTGCATATTTGTAGCCAACATAATGGCTATATACATTACCACAAAAGTATGAGTGCTGAAACTGAAAGTTCAAAATTTTTCCAACATTCAGGAAAGATAAGTTTGTCTAAAATCATTGAACCACGACCAAATTCAAACTTAAACTGCTTATTCCTAAGATGTATCTATATTATTTTCAAAGTGAAAGGGACATAACTGTGCCAAAAAATCATCGAACCATGACCAAATTCCAACTTGACCTGCGCATTCCTTTGACATATCCATATGTCAATTTTGAGTTGAATATGTAACACTGTTGGGTTGATAATGAACAGAAACTGTAAATTTCATATCATTTTCAAAGTGAAAGGGGCATTACTCTGCCAAAAATCATTGAACCATGACCAGATTCGAACTTGGTCTGCGCATTCCAAAAACATATCCATATGTCAAATTTGAGTTGAATGTGAAATATTGTTGGGGAGATAATAAACGGAAACTGAAAATTTCATATTATTTTTAAAGTGAAAGGGGCATAACTCTGCCAAAAATCATCGAACCATGACCAAATTTGAAATTGACCTGCCCATTCCTTTGACGTATCAATATGTCAAATTTGAGTTGAATGTTTAATACTGTTGGGGAGATAATAAACAGAAACTGAAAATTTCATAATATTTTCAAAGTAAAAGGGGCATTACTCTGCCAAAAATCATTGAACCATGACCAAATTTGAACTTGACCTGCGCATTCCTTTGACGTATCCATATGTCAAGTTTGAGTTGAATGTGTTGTACCATTGGGGAGTTAATGAATGGAAACTGAAAATTTCATATTATTTTCAAAGTAAAAGGGGCATTACTCTGCCAAAAATCATCGAACCATGACCAAATTTGAACTTGACCTGTATTTTCTCATGACATATCAATATGTCAAGTTTGAGTTGAATGTGTTGTACCCTTGGGGAGATAATGAACGGAAACTGAAAATTTCATATTATTTTCAAAGTAAAAGGGGCATTACTCTGCCAAAAATCATCGAACCATGACCAATTTCGAACTTGACCTGTATTTTCTCATGACATATCCATATGTCAATTTTGAATTGAATGTTTTGAACCGTTTGGGAGATAATGAACGGAAACTGAGAATTTCATATTATTTTCAATGTAAAAGGGGCATAACTCTGCCAAAAATCATCGAACCATGACCAATTTCGAACCTGACCTGTATTTTCTCATGACATATCCATATGTCAAATTTGAGTTCAATATGTGCAAGGGTTATTAAGATAATGAACGGAAACTGATGATGACGGAAGGACGGAATGACAGAATGACGGAATGACGGAATGACGGAACAGGGTAACACTATATGCCCCTGCCATTATATGGCGGGGGCATAAAAATGAGAAAACCTGATATCAAATTCCAACCACACATTTCATAAAAAAAATTTAATTTCAATTAAATTTAAAATGCAAAGTACATAACAGAGGCCACTTTTATGACAAAAGGGACAGCTTTCTGTCTTTCAGGCAATTAAAATCATCTAGCTGATATAAGTCAGTTGCTGTTAAGTCATGGTTCTGGTGAAGAATGTGCACAGGGCATTCCATGAGAAAATATACATATTTTGGGCTAGAGGAAACAGCCTTTATTCGACTGTAAAATATAGGGAAAAGAAATCAAACCTGACAATATCTCCAAGACGGACACGTAAATTATTTCTGACACATCTGTTTATTCTAATTTTATCATCTGTGACTGTGTCATCTGACAATACAATACACACTGTCTCCTTACGCCTCTTCCCCTTTAACAATACTGTGTCTCCGCGGAATAACTGGAGCTCGTCCATTTTTTTCTGCAATTTCAATTTTTTTTCAAAAAACTTAGTCATGAACAACAACAATATTTAATTTAGAAAAAAGATCTGATGTCATTACTATATAAATTTGTTTATAAACATGTATCATTCCTCAAAAATTCTTTGCACTGTTATTTTTTTTTATGCTAATCTTAGAAATATAATGTGTATACCTGTGATAGTGATACAACTGAATTGTCTTCATTGATGGCCTCCTCAACAAGCAACCTATTGGGCCTTTCTTTACGTCTGAGAATGGCTGTGGCCAAATCATCTCTGCCAAGAAAAAGCGTAGTATATATTTTTACTAATATCTGGAGATACATTTTACTTGCATCACTTTAAAAAAAGCATTTTCTAAATGTTTATTATAATTATTAAAATGAAACAGCTGTTGTAAATTGAGGAGTGACAGCAGGATTAATTTGCTGCAAATACAATCCAAGAAATATAAATGAAATATATTGAAAACCATTGGCAGGCATTTTGAAATGATAACATAACAAACAATTATTCCACAAGTTTAAAATCTTCACTATAAATTAATTGGTATTAACAAAAAAGAAAATAGAACATATAATCTTTAAAATATTTTTTTCTTAATAAATCTTAAGAAATTTAAAAGTGCAATTTAACTGAACCTTATCTCATCTGTCAACATTACTTATTTTATTCATTATTTTAGCCTTGTACATTTAAACTTACTTTTCAGTTTCTTGCACTAAAGCCATCTTTATTATTATATAATCAGAATGTTCTTGAATATTAACTCAAAATTAATTTATTCAAATGGGAGTAGTTAACATCAGTTTTAAAACAATGTCAGACTATCAAAACCTTTATAACCAGTTTTGTATATATGATTCTTATAGATAGCTTAACTACATTATCATTTAATTGATTTATCCATTTTATCTTTTTATAATTTTATCAATATTTAAGTCACATCCACAGCATAGTTTAACCCTTCTGAAAAAGTTAAGGGTGAATAAAAGACAACTAAGAGGTAATGTTTGCTTATATAGTATGCAGTGACATTACAAAATTGATTGTAGCCATTACTGTATTCATTGCTGAAAATAGCTATCACTATTTTACAAACACGTATCAAATAGGTGATATGTAAATGAATCATTTTCTATTTATAGAAAGGTATTTTCCAGATCATATTTTTAAAAAAAATTATCATGTATTTATAACAAGTAAACAATTCTGTTAAGCTAAGTTTAGAATGGTCGATCTGTGATCACTATTTCAAACCAATCCTTGATTGCGATAAATGAAAACCTTTGTGTTCTTTTGTTCTCGATCTCACATTTTTATTAAACTGTCAAAAAGAAATAGAAGTCATTGACAGACCTACGAAAAAAAATTAAGTACTACACGAAATTAAAAATAAGAAAAATAAAAGTAATCGGGTCGGAACGAATGTAAAATTTCCATAAGGAAGGTTAAGTGTCATTGCTTAAGGATGACGATGTAAAATTGACGGAATCCCATGGATAAAAACAAGCGTCGACGGATAAAAGAAGATTTTCTCCCCACAATAAAAAGAAACACGGAATAAAATGGCAACGAAACAAACAAAATACTTTATTCTTATTAAATTTCCTACCCTGAGCCTTCAGCCATAGTTTATATCTAGAGAAATGCCGAATTACGTGGTATTTGAAAATCGAAACTTGTTCCTGTCCGCACCGGCGAATATGGTTGAATGACTTCACGCGCGATCGAGATAAATTCTCTTACGATCTAAATTCTTTCAGTCTGAATATTTACATAAACTGTAAATGCTAAAATTTTCGGAATGGAAAATTGTTGAAGTATTTATGAAAACTGTAAAGTTTAAAGAAATTTAAGAAAAAAAATCTTAGTTTCCAATTAACATATCATTGTCGTCGCAAATCCCGGATTCTCCACCACATACTACTGGATGGATGTTTGGTAGTTTATGATCTGCGGGGTTCTTCTTATCGGGTTTGAACTGTTTAATTAAAAATATAAATACAGTTATACTAATGTAAATTTTTTCGAAAACTATAAAATTAATAAATTACCCCCCCCCCCATCGATGTTATTATTAATAAACTGTTATAACAATGGGAGCTAAATGGCATTATATAGTGATTATTAGTTCTGCATGTTATAAATATTTCTATCTTTTTTATGCAATGTTTTCTATCCTTAGATTAATCAAATATATGCAAAAAATACCTTAAGTATATGCATATTTTTACCAAATGAATAAAAAATGTGTTTAATCTACATTTAAGTGGGATGAATTGCACTTCAGCGATTGATGACATAGAGCTCTTTTTTTTTCTTTATTTTCCCAAATTAAGTTGAGCTGTGAGCACGGAGAATGAATTCAAATTTTAATAAAATATGTTAATTTAATTTAATTCCCTATAATAGCAAAAAGCAAAAGAAATGAAACATTGCTTTAAAAAAATACCTTGCAAATGTGATTCACGTAAAATTTTATTTACTTATTACACATTTAAATATTGCATTATATATGTTGTTAATATTCATGATCTTAAAAATATTTGGTTATGAATGAATGTCACTTGTTATGACTAGACATATTTTCAGTAATTACAAGATTAAGATTATTTTAGAGCAGATCCTTTTACGGTATATGCAAAATTTGATAGGCGGGTCAACCATAAACGGTTAAAAAAGGAATGAAAGTTCACGAAGATTAAAACAGGAAAATAGTGCATCACGGAATGCACCAGAAGCTATCATTTAGTATTCAAAGAAAGACGAGCGATTAACGTTCTTACATATGTTAAAGACTGAAATTTTTATGTGATATTGTAGAAACACGAATTTTAAAATACATCAGAAACCTCTATTTTATTTTTTACCCCAGAAATTGACTAGACTTTAAAACCGTAGCTGTCATATTCTTTAAAGTGTTTTAAAATGTGCCCATAAAATGCACCAAGGCCACCATTTCACACGTAGAATGGTGAGGACCAGCAAACGGCCGTTTGGTTGTTTAAATCAAGCCCCCACAGTCCAGCCAATTTATAGGAAATAAAAACTTAAAAACTAGGTGTACATAGGCTCTTTCAAATAGAACTGTATTCCATTTGAAAGACCCTGGTGTACCTTCTTCGTCAGACTTTTATGCCCCGACCCATTGTATTTCAACTTTTAATGTGTCACAATATCCCATATCTGTTTTAAATACATCGACTATTTTGTACATCAATTGTTACTACTATTTTCTGTTGTCCTGTGACCTTCTGGTAAAAATATCACATTGTGTATTAAAAGGCTGATAATTCAATCATACATGTATATTTTACTGTTAACTACTTTGTTTAGGTGTTTATTATACTTTGTTTTTTTGTGTGTTTTTTTTGTTTTTTTTTATCTTATCAGAGACATACAGTTGAGTTCACACTAAACTTCCCACCCTTGTGCACTTCTAGTGCACTAGAGCTGAACTAGAAGTGCACTAGAAGTGCACTTCTAGTGCACTAGACCATATGACCAGGCTGGCCAGGGAAGGTGACACCTAAATGGTTTATTGGATAATTGTATATTATCAATTGAGGGGGGGGGGGCATCCATTGTTACGCTGCTGTATGAAAAAAAAAACTTTGGGAAAATATGGCCTATTCATGAATATAAATAAGTAAATTTCAAAATCAGCAGTTTTAACATTTTAGGTGATTATCATGTTAAAGCTTAAAATTAAAATGTGTTTTTTTATTTATTGTAATCATAGTTTTATTAACCAGTATTTAACTGTAAGTGAAAAATAATACCCCTTAAAATCAAATTTATAGAATTAATAAGGTTAAATTTAAATATGCTCCGTAATGGATAATTAAATAAGTGTTTTTAAAGCTTTTTTTAATGGCCATATATTTCAATTTTTCTAGTGTACAAATGTGAAAATCAATGTGATAATTCTGGCCCAATTAATTTAGTTTGTTACAACATAAACTTTTTTTCATAAGCTCAAAAAAATCTAGGAAAGGTTTATATTTAAGCTAAAATATTATTTCTATAATATTTAACTTAGAGACAATTCATCATGTTCAATATTGAAAGAGAATATTAATGCATTGATTTTAAAACAATCGATATACTGTGATAATTTAGTATTCAACTGTGTAATGCTTGCATATGTTTTAAAGATATAAATAATTAAAATATTATCCATAAAATAAATAAATTTGATATCTTTATTCATTATTTCAATATTAAAAATTTAATGTATAAAGGGAATACTTTTATTGAAGAGGAAAATCTCAAGTCATGCTGTGTATTGGTATTTTCTGAGAGGGACTGTTTTCAATATACCACTCTCCTGCTGATAGAAGGGCCTCGGGCTAAATATTTTAATTAAACAAAGAACAATCAATTTTGCAGATTTATAAGAATTCATTGAAATCCCCTGGTTTTCTCAAAATGCATGTTAGACATAAGCCTGGGATTCACCAGGCTTGGCACTCAGGCTAGTTAGTCATATAGATAAATGACCATAATTTTTGTATAATCAAATATACAAACAAAATCATAATGGCATAAATGCATAATAGATATTATTGTCTCTAAAGCGGAATTTTCTATATGTATCCATTTATCAACATTTCTTGCCATTCTGCATAATAATATCACGGATATTTATACATAATTAAAATTTTTCCATGAAATAAATAAAATTTATAACTTTATTGAAGATTTCTACATTAAAAATGTAATGTATAAAGGGAATATTTTTATACAAGTCATGCTGTGTATTGGTATTTTTTTTGAGGGCGACTGTTTTCATTACACTGGTCTCCTGCTGATAAGAGGGCCTCAGGGTAAATAACAAAAATGCAGATGTATGCAATATTTATCTAAAATTTCCTTTTTTTTCATCCAAAATACATGTAAGTCATCGATAAATGACTATACATTTTGTATAATCAAATGTAATAAATAGTTTTAATGGCATAAACGCACGTTAGATATTATTGTCATTATTGTCTTTGAAGTGGAATTTTCTAATCTTATCATAAAAAACTGGTTTAAAACCAATATCAGTGTTAACTATTCTACAAAGACCTCATATTAATATTTATCCACATTTTTTGCAATTCTGCAGTAAAATTTGCAGCATCTTTTACTTTTTAAACTAGGAAATGTTATTTTTTTCTATTATAGATTTGACAAATTTGCCTTGTCAGTTTTTACGCGTTTAGAAGATAATATATTTTTAAGAAAATATTTAAATACATGATTATAAACTTTTGCAACTTCCTTTTCACTTTAATGCAGATCTGTTTTTTTTTAGTTGTTTTTTTTAAATTAAATATCATACATGAGCAGAAAACAGTTACAGGAGATTAAAGTGTCAAAAGTCATGTTGTGTATTGGTGTTTTGGTATACCGTAGTACCCTGCTGATAAGAGAGCCCCTCAGGGTAAATAACAAAAGGCTGATTAGGCGATGTAAATTCTGTATTCTCTGGATGTTGGTGCAAATAAATTTCATTACAAGTAGTACAAAAAGAGAAATGAATATTTTTGCAGTTTATTATAAACTCAAATTAATCATATTGCATAATAATGTTACAATGCATGAAAAAAAAAGGAAAAAAGATTGGTGTCGTCTCACGGATTTTCTCATCTTTTTGTTAATATATATGTCAGTTTAAGTATACTAGTATCCCACAGGTACATATCAATACTTAATCTAAAGTTAATCCACATTTCATACATACCACCATTCTATATAAATATTTATTTTCAGAATAATATATATCATTTATATTAATCTTAGGTAAATCTCAGTTTGAGAAGGTAAGAGAGATTAAAAATTAGATAAAATTGACAAAATTTAGGCCAATTATAAACATATTAATTCTTTAATTAATGCTTAAAATCATTACCTTTAACTAAAACAACCATGGTTGTTTAAGTTAAGATCAAAAATAACTAATACTACGGTATAATTTGCCCCCCCCCCGCCCCCAAAAGAACTGACTGAATTTTGTTTGATTAGCATTTCAATGTTTCATATTTCATTACCAAATTATAATAAAATAGAATCATATTAAATATCAATTAAGTTTGTTTATTTATGCACTTATCAACATGAAAGTTATAATTATTTATATTTAAATTACTTATTCTAACAATTAAGTTTTAAAGTACAAAATCAGTAAAATTAATGACTATGATAAATTATTGTTCTAATATTTTACGCCATATTTTACAAAATCCAATAATCACAACTTAAAATTTATTATGAAAAACTATTAAACAGATATCTATATTTATCTATCTTTTTGTAAAAGTCAAATTGCTATGCATTGAAATAAAAGGTAACTGCTTAATACATATAATAGGTCTGGTGCACTACAAAGTGCACTTATGAAGTGCACTAGTAGTGCACTACTAGTGCACTTTGTAGTGCACTAGTAGTGCACATCTAGTGCACTCCTAGTGCACTTTGTGTAACCTTTAGTGTGAACTCAACTGTAGATATAGATCTATATCTCTGATCTTATGTTCTAAAATATCTTTCTATCCAACACGATGAAAGTATAATAACTTATAAGTACTTATAACAAAATAACTCAAAATTGGGCCGATTTAAAATTTGATAAAAGGTTGAAACGTCTTGGGTAATTTTGGACCGAAATGTCTCGAGGCCGAAATGATCGAAATCCTAAACCGGTGAGATGACAGCGATATCATAATGTTTTGTCGTACTTATATTAAATTATATGACGTCATAACCAAAATAATGGCAGGAATT